AATAAAGTAATTAAGATTAAAAATAAATAAATGTTACGCTTAGATTTGGTCAATTTTCCCGGTTATAAATCAACAATGAGCTGAATATCTAATTATTTTGTCTATTTTATTTTATTGTTTTACAGTTTGGCTCTGGCTCTGATAAATGGTGTTATTTTACAGATTTATTAAAGTTACCAGGCTTTTCAAACTTCCTGCTGGGTTTTGGGGTTCAGCAGGTTTAATGTAACTCAATAATACAAACATATTTCTCCACTGCAGTAGCAGATAATAGAACTCTGGTGTTGAACACAGCGTGGTTCCACAGAAAACCCTCTTCAACACCTCTCAGTGACATTTAACATCAACCTGGCAACCCAACGCTGCACAGTGTGAGGTTCAGCCGGACCGCGTTAATGATCAACCTGAACACTGCTTGAAAAGACGCAAAAGACACAATATTCAACACAAACAGGAGCTTCACGCCAGAGGTGATCTACACAAGACCTGAGGAAATACTCCTGGTGGCCACAGGTGGAAGATCGAGTACTTAAGAAAGGGGGTAAAACTACTGTGTGTGTGTAAAAATACTGTGTTAGAAGCAAAAGTCATCCATTTAAATGCATACGTACACTGTGAAGGAAAAAATACATAAAAAATTGTGAAAATCTGGCTACAAAAATACTTTAAAAAATTGTGGAAAACTGTGAAGTTTAAAAGTTGTAAAAAGTTGAAAATAACAGTAAATATCTGTAACACAGAGATATATTTCTTTTTAGCTGGTTCAAATACAGTGAATCAGTATAATTTTGCTGTAATATATATTGCAATAAATAAATAAATGAATGAATGAATGAATGAATGAATGAATGAATAAACAAATAAACAAATAAATGAAAATATAGATTTTTGTGTGGACTTTTTTTTCATCTTTTTGGGCAGTTTTTTTTTCTTTTTTTTTTCTTTTTTTTCTTTTTAAAAATATTTATATTCAACAAGTACATTAATACTTTTAATCCTGTTATTTTAATAGCTTGTATCTCTAATTTAACAATACAGGGACAATCTGTAAAATACCAGTTAGAAAAGTGTAAATCTTCAACATGCGTAATTTTTCTTTCAAATGATAGCAAATATATGTTAGAAAGCACAAATTTACAATTTTGACCATTTACAAAAAAAAAAAAACCAACAACAGATTTTTGATGTGGACAAATGTTACGTTTTTGTTTTGTTTTTTCACACTTAACATGTGAATTAATACTTTTTTTTGTGATTTTATTTTGGTATTATCTCTAATTTAAAAAAAACAAACAAAAACAGGGAAAATCTGTAAAATAACACGTAACTTGAAGAATGAAAAAATGGCTTACCATCTTTCAAACCTTAATATAAAAAAATATTCATTAAAATATCAGTTAATATCTACGTTATTCTATTTTAAACACAGTGAAAAAAATTTAAATTTAAATGTACAGATAAATGTTGTCAAAGACTTTAAAAAGTACAGTTGTTTGGACAATTTTGTTCTGTTTTTAGGACAAACATATGAATGATGTTGTTTTTCTGTGATTTTACAAGTTAATACTTTTAACTGAACAAAACAGGGAACATTTGAGAAATTGTTCAAAAAACAAATAGTTTAAAAACCGTTTAAAAAGATGTAAGTAAAACTATTAACATCAAAATATATGTAATGTACCAAAAGTTAAACTGCAGATTATGCAGAATGACACATTTAAAAATAATCTATGTAACTGGATTATAATTATGATATTGTGGGTCCCCCCTCCCCCCATATATATATGGTCAATAATAATAATAAAGTCACAAACATGACAAAACACAGCTTTGGATGAGCAGACGAACAGAAAGTAAAAGCTGGAACTAAAACTCTGCGAGCTGAGGCTCCTGTTCTGGAAACACAAACCTTTTGCTTACTGCATTTGGTTTAAAATCCAGTATTTGGCACTTTAAATGTTAGTTATTTTCACCAGAGTGTTGCTTTCACATCTGCAAACATTTAACAACAGCAGGTGATTAAATTCAGCAACAAAACTCTTCATTTGGAAAATGTTTGGGCGGCTCCACACAGACTGATCGCAGTGTTTGGAAGCGATTTATAAAGGCGAGAGGCGTCTCTTCTAGGAAAAAAGAAAAAAAAACATCCAAGAAAATAGAAGTAAAGGACTGTTTTTACAGCTAAATGCTTGGAGAACATTCAAACATAAAGTTTGCACACAATAAAGAGACACCAAAGCACTAAGAAGCACTGAAATTTAACATTAAATTTCAAACTGAAGCCCCAAATTGGGCAAATACAGGAACGTTCTCCATGTGTGAAGACATTGCAACATGTAAAAAATCTTGTATTTGCATTTAAAGAATGAATGAGTTAATTAAAGCTGCAGCTATTTTAACGAAGACCTCTATGTCTGAGTCATCGTAAGCACAGAAATCTACTGTCCACTGTAAGGATTTGCTCTTTTTCTTTGTTTTGTACGAAAAATCTGAACACGCCAGCTTTAAGTCTGGGGACCAGATTATCAACATCTGGAGCCTCGCAGCATTTTTTAAAAAAATCCATTCCTGCAAAAAAAAAAGGTACCATGCAGCAGGAGACACTGTAAGTCCTCACCTACTAACCCCTCAATCACCGTGGAGAATTCTGAAGTATTACAGCATCTTGAAGACTTGTTTCATAGATCAAATGTGCACGTTACGCAAACTGACAGCAGACTGAGGAAATTCCACAGTGGGAATCAGTGGAGGGACTAAGTTACAACACATCCTGGTTCAGAGGCTGATGTTCAAACCAAACAGCCACGACAGTATGAAAGTCAGCAGCAGTCTGTCCTAAACCTCTCAAATCCACCAAGACTCATCTGAACGTTTCTAAACTCAAAAGATGTTTCACCATGCTGAATACATCTTCAACAACTGGCTCCTCTGTTCACTCTTTCTGAGCCACGCTGCATTTATTTACTGATCCAGTGTGTTAGATGTTCCTCTCAGTCTCTCTCATCGTCTCCTCTTGTGGTTTTATGTCACACGTGTCCTTCAGTCATGTTTTATGTTGTTCTTTTTCTTGCTTTTGTCATTTTTTTTGGTCTCATTTAGGTCGTTTTGTGTCTGTTTTATGACATTTTTTCTGTCGCATTTTGCATC